GGCGCAAAGTCAGAGTGTGAACCTGGAACGAGCTGAGCCTTTGGGAAATGCCTCCCCAGGCTGTTTGTTCCCTGCCAGAGGCTGGCAGCAGGCCAGGCCTTTGCTTTGGAGAATAATCCACTGGCTTTAGAGCTCCCAGCACTCCTGGGGAGTGAAAAACAAGTGTGACTGCTCAGGGCCTCGTGGGTGTGTGGGCACGGGTGGGTGACAAGGGCAGGCTCAGGGCTTCATTCCCTGCCTGTTCCAGCCCAGCTGGGGGCACAGCTGTGCCCTTCCTCCTCACTGGGTGCTGGCCAGCCCCCTGGCCCATCAGCATCCCTGGTATGCCACCTTCTTCCCACTTCCATCACCCATTGCTGGGCAGGAATCCCCCTATGCCTCCCACACAGGACTTGGATCTGGGGACATCCTGCTCAGTGGCACCCCAGGGGTGACAACCAAAACACCCAGTGTGTGCCCAGGAGATGAGTGTGCTCCTGGCACCAGCTCTGCCTCAGTCCCCAGCAGGGAGCAGCAGAAAAATCTGAATTGCTCTGCTGAGAAATTAATCTTCTTTCCCTGTCTTAGCTCAGCCTGACCTAGAAGAACCACCCCCCCCCGTTTTTTTGGTTTTTTTTTTTTTTTTCCCTCTGTGGGGTGTTTAAAGGGAAAATTACAGCAAATGTGTTGCAAAGAAGCTGTGGGAGACAGGGGCCAGACCTCCAGCAGGCAAAGTGGTTTCAGACAGGATTTGCCAGGCTGCCCTCTGCTGAGACCCTCTGAGCTGGGGTGGGTGGGCAGAGAAAATTTCATCTGCCCAAGCACGGGCAGTAGAACAGAAACAGTAAAAGGTCAAGAGCTGTGTTGGGTTCCTTCTGGCAGGGTGCAAAGTCAAGGGGACTTTTGGCTGGAGAGAAGTAAAAGCAGAGCTGCTGGAGAGAGAAATGGCAATGGGAACAAAGCAGCTGCAGTGCCCGTGCCCTCCCTTGGTGGCTGTGGTCCTGGGGTGCTCACAGGGACTGGGGCTGGCTGGAAGGACAGCACTGACCACCAGGACAGCCACAGGAGGGGAAATATGCCTCTCCCAGAGCCTGCTCCTGCCCCACACCAAACCTCCCACTGCCCCCAGAAGGTTTCACATCCCTTTTCCTCAGTCCCTTCATGCCCAGGGATGAAGCCTGCATGGCTCAAATGTCATCGGTGGCTTCCCAGGCACAGGCTGGGTGAGGGAAACCAGGCAGCCCAACACCAAAATGATCCTGACAAAATGCTGAAGCTCACACCCTGGGGGTTGCATCCAAGGAAAGGCTTCATCTACCTTGAAGGCTCATCAGCTGCCTACCCTCATCAGGGTTAAGGTTAACCCTGCTCCCTCCCTGCCTCAGCTTCCCTTTTGTAAAGTTGGGGAAATAGAAAGGAAAGAAGCCCCCAGTCTCCTCTTGTGCCCGAGGACTTTCTTGTGCCTGTGCTGTGGGGTTGGTTCCTGTTCCACAAGCCTTGGAGGAGAGCAGGGAGGCCAGGCAGTTGTTCTGGTGCTCATCCATGTGTCTCTGTATGTGTGTCTGCCTGTCCTTCCTTGTCAGAGTGCAGCACCTGTGGCTGTCCCACCCCTCCTGAAAAGGGGTCTTGAGTCCAGAACCACCCTCAGCTGGGGTCTGTGTTCTGGGAGAGGGGCAGTGCTGGGAGCCAAAGGGTTTTGAGGCAGTTTTTGGGCAGCAGCCCCGTTTTGGAGGCTCAGCCCTGCGTCTCGGGGCAGGAGGTGCAGGCAGTGTGAGCAGCAGGGATTATGGCTGCTATAAAAAGCAGCAGCATCTCTGCTCTCTGCTCCCTAAGGCGCTTAGGGGAGGAAGGAGGGAATTAAAGAGCAACCTCCTGCACTAAAGAGGTGCAGTCAGAATAGCCTGGCACACTCATGAGACCCCCTCCTCCTCAGCATCCCCAAAAATCCTCCCCTGGGCAAAGCAGGCCCTCCATGCTCTTCCTGGGTCCCTGCTGTTGGATCACCGGAAACTTGTCCCCTGCTCAGAGGTTGTGGGGGGCAAGGAGAGGGCTGAGGAGGGCAGCTGAGCCTGCAGAGGGGGTCCTGGTGGGCAAGAGGAGCACATGGGGATGCTGTACCACTTGCACACCCCAAACAAAAACGTGGAGCACTCCCCCATCCTCACAGCCTCACTCATCTGCCTGGTCCTGTCCTGCCACCCTGCTTCCAAGGTCCTCTGAGGGTACTGGTGATGTCCTACAAAATGCAGCCAGCTGCATGGGTGCATGGCTGGACAGAGAAACACTGAGGTCTTGGAAGGACAGGGGTTGCTGCAGCCCACAGCCATGCTCTGCCTCCAGTGTCTGGAGGCAAAAAGGCTCCAGGGTCTTGGGACTCACAGTCATTCTCAGAGCTCAGCACTAGTGTGGGCTCTGCTGACATGTCTGGGGACAAAGCAGGGGGGAGGCAGGTGCCAGATGATGGCAGTGGTGCAGGGAAGGGGGGATGTGAAGGGAGGTGGTGTGGGGAACAGCTGCCCTCTGTGGTGTCCCCCCGTTCATGGCAGGTTCCAGCGGGGTGAGTTCCACAAGCAGCCCCTGCAGAGCTCTGGTGCCAGCCCTGGCTCCTGGCATTGCCCAGGTTGGTGTTTCCCCTCGCTGTGGGCACTGCTGCAGCATCACCCAGTGCTTGGTCAGTCCTGGAGGTGGGCACAGCAGCAGGACCCCCCTGGCACCCCGCAAATGGGGATTTCAGAGAGGCTGAGCGGAGGGCTCGGGGCGCTGCCTGCCAGCCCTGCCCGGCTCCGGCGGCCACAGGAGGGAGCTGGGCTCCTTCCTTCGCCTGGGCCCTTCGTTCGGCTGGGCCCTTCCTTCGCCTGGGCCCTTCCTTCGCCTGGGCTCCTTCCTTCGCCTGGGCCCTTCGTTCGGCTGGGCCCTTCCTTCGCCTGGGCCCTTCCTTCGCCTGGGCTCCTTCCTTCGCCTGGGATCCTTCCTTCGCCTGGGCCCTTCCTTCGCCTGGGCTCCTTCCTCCGCCTGGGCCCTTCCTTCGCCTGGGCCCTTCCTTCGCCTGGGCTCCTTCCTTGGGCTGCTGCTCCGGGGACAGCCCCGCCAGCGCTGCGTGCGAGCCGCTGCCTGGTGCGGGAGCATCTCCTGGGGTCAAACCGCGTCCTGTGGGACCCCGAAGGTCTCCGGGAGTGAGCGAGAGCCCGGCTGGAGTGCAGGGGCTGCCTCCGTGCCCAGGGAAGCCTCCACCTCATCCCCAGCAGCTGATGGGTGATGGGGCTGCGGTGCATCGGTTGTGCCCAGGGCGTGGCGTGTCCCCATGGTGAGCAGGGCCACTGTGACACACGGCGTGTCACTGTCCCTCACCTGCGGGACCCCGGTGTCCAGCCTGCTGATGCTGAGAGAGCAGGGGAGCAGCAAACCCTGCACAACCCGCTGACCCCCGGGAATCTGGAGCTTCCCGGCTTCCCCAGCCCTCAGCCAGCTCTGGTGCTGCAGGGGGTTGTGCCCAGGGGGTGACAGTCACTGGGGGGATCATGCCCCAGCATCATCCCCCCCGTGCTGTCCAGCTCTCCATCCCTGCCCAGCTCCCCTCGCAGCCCCAGCAGTGCAGGGGAAGCCTGGCAGGTGCCAGAGCAGCCTCGCTACAAACCCAGGATTAAAAAAAAAAAAACAACGGAGAAAAATGACGGTGTCAGAACACAGAACACTGTCAGGTCGGAAATGGTTAATCACGGGGGGAGGTCTGAGGTACTGTCCTTGCCTTTGCTTGCTGAAAAGACAACAAAGCCTCAGCCCAGGGTGGGACTGCTGGGAATGGCTCTCATTAAAGCCCTTGGAGCAGGAGTTTGAAACCACATCCATTTTCCTTAAGCACTTTCAGAAGGGGAAAATGCTGTTCTGGCCCCTCTGTTCGTGGTGTGCTGGGTACTGCGGGCTGGGAAAAGGCAGGACTTGTCTCCCTGAATGCAGAGGCACAAGTCTGGACCACGGCCTCATCTCAGGACTGGCTCTGTGGCACATCAGCATAACCTTTTGGATCTTCATAAAGAAGAGGCACAAGGAATGAGCTTTGTCCCAGTGCCTCCACTCTGCTATACAGAGAAATTATGCATCCTGGTTTAAAACCCATATTGAGGTTTTAAAGAGCTGATCTTAAAACAGCAATGAAGCCATCAGGATGCTCCTTTCCCCACATGGTTTGAGAGCTTGCCCCACACATTTTCTGTTGCTGGCTTCCCCTGAGCCCCTTAAACAGTGAGGAGCAGGGATCTGCCTGGAGTTACAAATGGGAGAGGGTGTCTTTGGGCACAGAGAAGGGCAGTTTTGGTTGGTGGTGCTCTGGCTGGGAAGAGGAAGGTGTCCAGGGAGAAGAGGGAGGTGTCCCTGCTCCATCAATGCACATGGGCCTGACCCCAGCACAGAGCCAGCACCCTGTGGGGTGGCAGGAATTCTGGGGGTGATGTAGGAGGTGCTCACACTGGGATGAGTCTGAAGGATGCAGATATACAAGGGCTATTTTCCCCCACAAAGAGTTTGGATTTCATGCAGATGGGTCCCTGTCCTCCTCTCCAGCAACATTTCCTCAGAAAAAGGGATTGTACCTGGTCCCAACAGGGCTGCTCCCTGTCAGGGGGTGCTGGGCTCAAGCAGAGATGTGGTGGAGGGAATGTGATGGCCCTGGCTTGGCTACAGGCCCAGAGGAATTAGGCTCCCTGGGCAGTTTGGGCTGTCACCCTGCTGTCCCAGAGCCACAGGACACACCTGCTGAGAAGGGCTGTCAGCTGGAGCTGCAGAACTAAAGGCAGGAGTGATGGCCCAGGCAGATCACCAGTGTGCTGGGGGATTTGGCCCCTGCTGGCCTTTCTGTGCCTTTCTGCAGCTCCCAGCTCCCTGCTGTGCCCTGGGCCTGTCCCCAGAAGTGCAGACACCACATCTCTCTGCAGCCTCCTTGTCTCCTTTGCCCTTCTCCCCACCCCATTCCCACACCACTGGACAGCCACATGCCAAAGGACTGCCCAGCCTCTCTCTGCAGCTCATTTCTCTTGCAAGCTTTGTCTGGTGGGTGTATTTTGCATTTGCTTTTTCTTTTTTGCTATTCATAGGGAACAAAGAGGGGGTCACAAACCCAAGGGCAGACGTCAGGACAGGGCTGACAAGCCTGGGAGAAGGGGTGATGCCACCCGCCCCCACAAGGTCCTTAGAGCCTGGTAAAACCAGGGGGAGGAGGGCTTTGCTCCAGGGCGCCGGCTCTGCCCATCCCTTCCTCTCCCCGCCCGGCCCTGCGGGGCGGCTGCTGCTCTGTTGCACTGCTCCATCCTCCTGCTCCATCCCTCCTCTGCATCCCGCTGCTCCATGCCGATCCCGCTGCTCCATCCCGCCCGGCCCGGGCGCGGCGCCGGTCACGTTTGCTGTGGCAGGTGACAGGTCTCGCTGATGGCAATGACCACGTCCTGGGGCTGCCGCTCCCGGTGCTGCCGCTGCGGCGCCTCGGGCATCTCGCTCATCTCGTTGACGCTGTTGCTGATGCAGTTGATGTCGCTCTTGTTGCTGTTGTCATCCGGGTTGGGGCCAAAGATCCAGTCTGGAGGAGGGAAAAGCACAAGACAAGCCCCTGGTTACCTCCAGCTCTTTGCCCCAGAGCTCAAAGCTCTGAAATTGTTTGAAAATTGCTGCCTTCTGCTACATCCTACCTCTAGCTCTGGGTGCTTCCCCCTCCAGGAATGTCCCTTGCCCATCCCCGCCCCTTCAGCTCCCTCCACTCCCCTGGTGCTGGGATCTCTGCTCTTCCCAGCTCCGGGCTGGTTTCAGGCTGCTGGTTTCTGGAAGCCCTCCCAGCTTAGGCAGATGAAATCACCCTGTTAATCCCAAAAATGAGAGTGAAGTGCCTCCAAAGTGAAGTGTGCATCTGGGGTCTCTAGCAATCTATTTCCTAAAGTGGGATTTTGCTGTCAGACAGAGTAAGTGATTAAATAACTATGTTGTCATCCAAATGGGGCTGGAGACGTGGCAGGGACATGGCTTTTCTGCCTTGAGAGTGTATTACAGACATGCCAGGGCCTCAAACCCTCCATGGCAGTTCTGGGGCTGTGCTTCTTGCACCAGGACCTGGCTCTGAGCTGATTCAGCCACTGCCACCACCCTGGGGGTGACTGGTGCCCCTCCAAAATACAGAGTGACTGCTGGATGCCAGCGTGACTGAAACATCTCCTGCAGCACAAGGGACTGCAGCTGAGTGAAAGCAGGCAGTGCTGCTTCCCAAACTGCTGTCTTTTAAAAAACTTGGCTGTTTGGGCAGTGAGACGCCACAGCCCACTGAGATGGGAAGGCACCAGCAGTGAGGAAACCAAAGCTGGGGAAACACAGGTGAGGGGAAAGTAGCCCCAAGAAATTGTGGCTGTGGGCAGTGGAGCACCAGCATCCCTCTGCTTTAGCTCTGCTACCAAAATAAAGCAGAGGTGGCTACCAGGAGGCAGACAAGGACCAGCCTGGTTTTGTTGTTCCTGGGGAACTCTGCTTATTTGCCACTGGGTCTCACAGAATACAATTTATCCCCTTTGTACTGTGGGGTATTTTCTCTCCCCACGGGACATTCCAGTTGTGGTAGAGGACACAGGTTTCCTGATGGGGCAGGGACACAGAAATGCCATCCCAGTGAGATGATGTCTTTCTCATGGGCTGTGGGAAAAAGTTTTACAGCAAAACTAGGACTGAATAATGGCAAATGCCAGGTGCCAGGGTGGGATGCCAGGTGTGAAGTGAATGGAAGATCTCATTTCTCAGCTCACCAGTGGTGGCCAGACATTTCTTCAGGTGTGAGCAGAGAGACAGGAATGACCTGTGGGCCTCCCTGTGCTCAGTGTGTGCACTGTAAGTCAAATTTTGGGCTTTTTTTGAGAGACCCAAAGCTTCTCTCTCTCTCTTTTTTTTTTTTTTTTTCTTTTAAGAAAAGCCAAAAGTTTTGTTGTTTTTGCAATGCAACATTTGAATTTTTTTCCCAACCTGAAGCCATTTGGCCACAGCATCCCCAAGAGAGCAGAACATGATTTTCAGGATGATGCTTGTGCTCTGGAGCCAGGGTAGGTGACCACCCTGGCAGGGACAGGGAGTGGAGGGGGTTGTGCCCCACTGCCAGCATGGTCTGGCTGGAGGAGGGGGCTCTCTCCAAGGAGGGCAGAGCTCCCACCACACTGGGCACTGGCAACATGTGCAGAGAGTGACAGTTTTTCCTTGGTTTTCCTATTTTCTTCACCTTCATCACTGTGCCAGCAGGGTTTGCTGCTTGTCCAACAGGAAAGGCAGGATAACCACCACAGCTCCCTCAGCCACTGCTGGGCTGGCAAGAGGGGTTGGGAAACTCAGCAAAGAAGTGGTCCAAAGGTTTTTGGGGAGCCCTGAGTCTGGGTCCCAACCAGGACATTTAGCTTTCACTTGCATCACCCACCTGAGGCTGGGCTACCCATCCCAACCCTTCCCCAAGGAAAATCAGCCAAGCCCAGCAGGCTCATTTGGGGCTTTTTTCCTTCACAGCTTTGATTTTGCTTGGATTTACTGGGTTTAGACTAAAGGCCAAACACTCCACCACCTTCTCTGTGGTCTGGTCCACCCCATCCAGAGCCTCTTGGCCCCAGGACCTTGCAGGCTGCTGCAGCCCCCACACAGAGAGCTGCTTGCCGTGAGGAGAAGCTGAAGGCAGTAACAAGATTGCCTCCTACAAATACTATTACAGTTCTCAGCTTGCCTTCCTTGACGTCAGCCGTAAAACTCCAGTGGGAGCAGCAGGGAGGAAGGGGAATAATCTCTAGAAAAAGGGGTGATGGGTCCTCAAATATCCCAGGAGCCACTGGATAAGGGTTGCTGTGAGCAACGAGAAGCAAAGAGCGTTGCATGCCTGTGAGCAGGGGTAAGTGGCATCTGGTGGCCAGATGATGAACCCCTGGTGACATTTGTGGGCACAAGAAGAAGCAAGAGCTGGATGAGGCACTGTGGGAAAGGCAGAGAAATGTAGGGGATGGGTGTGCTGGGAGAGCACCAAGGGCACCAGCAAAAGCCATTTGCACGGGAGAAGTGACACAGTGCAGAAGTGTCCCCAGAGGGGATGTGGCTGTGTGGGGCTGCCACAGTCCAGCTCCTGGGTGAGAGCAGGCTGGATTGTGAGTGCTAATCCGAACCACCGCTTCCCTGGGAATTATTTCTGGAGCCTGCTGGATCTAATTACCCAGTAATCTGCAGGAAGATGTAATTAGGCTGTCATTAGAGGGTATTTACTGCGATGCCTTTATGATTTGACTGTGTAAGTAAGGAGTGAAGTAATTACACAATTACATGTTATTTGTGGCCATTTATGGCCTGTAACTTCAGCGTGTTGCCATGTGTGGAAGAGGGGAGTGAGGCCCCGTGGAGCTGGCAGAGGATCTCCTGCCAGCAGGACCCTGGAGAAACAACCAGAAAAATGTCAGCACCCTCGTGTCCCCTGCCAGGCACTACTAGCTCCCTCCCAGCCAGGCTCCATCCTCCCCAGCAGCTCCCTCTGGCTCCTCTCAGTTTGAGGGTGAGGAACCAAGGTCTCCTGGGGTCACCCATGGTGTGTCTGGGGAGGGATGAGGGGGAAGAGAGAGGAGACCTGCACATCTTTGGCGTCAATGGGATTAAACCTCGCTCTGATGCAGAAGGAACTTTGCAGGGGATGGGAGGGACAACCTCACGTCACGTGCCAACACAAGCTGGAAACCTTGGATAATGAACCCTGCACAGGGGTGTAATTGGGTAATGGGGGTGGCCAAGGGCTGGGAGCCCAGGGGTGGTGGTGACCAGCCAAAGGAACCAGCAGCCCTCAGCACTGTGTCAGGTATTTCTCTCTCCATCCCTTACAGCTGGCAGGGAGATGCATGAGCCATAAAAAATAGGCACACAGAGGAAAACAAAATCCTCTTTTGGATCTAAGTCCACATATGGGTTCACACAATCTCCAGCCAGAAGGTGAGCAAAATTAGGCTGAACCTAATGACACCTAATGGATCTTGGACAGCTACAGGCAGAGCTGGGGTGAGGAGGGATCCCACAGTGTGCTCCTGGGACATTCACACCCAGGACAGTCACACTTTGGAGATAAGAAAAAGCATTGCCTGTCCCTACCCAGCCACTGGAAGGAGCTCATAACACATGCTGCAAAATCCAGGGCATGCCCACGGCTGTGTGTGTGTGAATGTCTTGGATAAAAGAGAAGAACAAAGTGACTTTCTCAGCCAGGCTGAGGAGCAGCATCTAACCCAGAGGCACCTCTTCCAGCTGGCCAGGTGCTGCCAAGGCTCAGTGTGCCTGCTGGGGTCTGCAGGGCCAGTGGAGAGGTGGGAAGTGCTGAGGTGGGGCGAGATCGATACGGAGCGATTGATCCAAAGCAGCTGGAGAGAGGAGATAGAGCAGACTGGGCAAATCAGGAGCTGTGGAATAGCAACTCTGTTATTGTAGTTATTATTATTATCCCCAAGTAGCAGAGTGATGTGGCACAAAATGCCCCTGCCTGTCTCTGTCTGAGCCTATGACAGTGCCCCTGGAAGCAGGACCCCTGGGATATGCTGTATTTTTGGGGACACAAAAACACTGGGGATGTCACAGCATGCCCTTCTTGTACCAGCAGCATGAGGGCTGGTCCTTGCCCAGAAACCCCTGACAGGGCAGGCAGCAGGGAGCAGCCTCCTGTTTTCTGGGTGCAGAGGGGCACAGGGTTACTGTGTGCCCAGTGTCACCCCAAGGGGGTGGCACGGTCCCCTGCATTCACTGGTGGCAGGGTAGGATGTCTATGAGGCATTTCAGCTGCTGGAAAAGAGATATCCCAGGCAGAAAGAGCAGAAGGGGGTGGGAGAAAGGGCTGAAATTTAAATGCAGCCTGGTGAGTGAGACATTCACAGTCCCTGTAGAGATGGAAACAGGAAAGGAAGGGGCGACATGTTCGATGAACAATCAAACTCGTGCTCTAGTTTTGCTTTAAATGGAGCTGGGTGTGAAAGCAGCTGCTAAAAAAGCTCTTTTCCCATCAGCAGGAGCAGAAGCACCTCTTTCTTTGAAACAAGTCCTGCCCCAGCAATCACATTGCTCTGCAGCAAGGCAGCAGGGCCAGCTCTGGCCGGAGCATTCCCGATGGACACGAGTTCAAGGGTATCCCTCGTGTCTCTGACATGATGCAGCAGTCACAGCTGGATGCTGTAGCTGTCTCACTTGCTGGACAGATTCTACTTATCCATTAGCAAAATCAACAGATAACTCCCAGGTTTGTTCTGATGGAAAATCTGTGTCTGCCCCTGGCAACAGTAATTTGTTAGAAACCCTCCTTTTTCCCCTCAGATTCACTTCTTTCTAAATGAATTTGATGTTAGGGTTTGTTCTTCCTGCCCTGTTTTGCAGAAATTTCACAGCTTTGCTGTGCTGGCTGAGTGAAAATTGTCCTGCACCCCAAACAGCATGAGCACTATGCTTTGCTGATGGACAGGTAAGGACACTGCTCCTCTGCAGAGCTGTCACCAGCATGAAGCATCTGGTGGGAAAAGGGGTGATGTGGAAAAGGCACTCAATTAATTATGATATTCTCTTAAAAACAGCTTCTGTGCATGCACCAGAGCAACCCTGGACCAAGCCTGCATTTGATCCCAGTGCCACCCATCAGGCAGCATTGCAGCTCCAGAGAATGGGTCTCTGAGAGGTGGTGACTCAGGTGTGGTAGGTGGGAGGCAGGCATGGTCCTGGGGGTGGATATTTGCTATCCATGTCTTCCAGAGGCAGAATGAAGGTGACCAGGGAGTGAGGAGCCCTGCTTGGTCTCAGCTCAGGGGAGAGCAGTGCTTGCAGGGCAGCAGACAAGCACAGCCCTCGCCCCCAGGACCTGACACAGCCCATCCCTGGACCACATGCTGGCAGGAATGGGGAGGCTGCTGTGGGATGGTGCATCCCTGAGGCCTTGGTCAATGCCTGGCAGCGTGTGCTGGAAGCCATTCCTCTCTTCCAGCTCTGAGCTTTAAAGGTTTAGCCTCAAATGCAGCTGTCCTGAAGTGGGTCCTTTTTGCAGGGCCAGACCACTGTGGCTTGTTGTTCAGCCCCAGCCTGTGAGGGGGAGTGGTGAATGATCCTACAGCAGTCACTGCTTCCCCAAACAACACCTCAGGAACTCCTGATGCACCCCCATGCACCAGAAGGGAAACAGGCAGGGGATCACTGTGAGAGCTGGGTTAGAACCAAGATAGAAAAGCAGAAGGGAACCTGACGTAGTTTCTTCCCACAACTTTGGGAGGCAAAGGAATTATCCTCAAAACAGAGCTGGAAAATAAGAGGTATAAGTCCTCTCTGATGGACCTAAGATACTGTCTGCAATCCCTGCCATGGGCTGAATTATCCTCAGAGCCCTGAGGTTCTGTGTGGAGCAATTAAAAGTGGATCCCGTGTCCCTGCAGGATCACCCAGCAGCTATTTTCAGCAATGCCACATTCATGCACAGTTTCTTTGTTCAAGGAGACCGTTTCCTAAAGAAGCCTGAAATGTGGTGGCTGGAGATAAGGCTGAAAAACAAAAATATGGCTGGTGGGTCAAAAGGGCAAAGAAAAGAAAGACCCTGCTCCAAGGATGGCACAGGGCTTTGAGCATCCCAAAGCCATCGACCAGCACAGTCCTGCCAGCGCCAATGAACCGGCTGGGCATCTGCCTTGGGCCCATTCCCGAGGGAAAAGTTCCCTCCAAGGTCTCCTCTGGAGATCAGCAGCCCGCAGGAGCCCTTGGCTGAACCGGGTGACAGCAGCCAAGGTCTCCTGCCAGGCGTTGCTCCCACGCAGCCCAGCGGACCCTTCCTTCCCGTGCGGCTCCCGTGCAGGAGATGATGGAGATGATGCTTTCCCCTTTCCCGGCGACCACACGCGTGCAGTCTCCATGGCAACAGCTTTGTTTCCAGTCAAACTTTTTATTTTTTCCCCCTCCCCCCTTTTTCCTCCTTTTTTTTTTTTTTTTTTTTTTTTTTTAATTTTAAATAGGAGCGATATTCAGCGAGCTGCTGGGGCCGGAGGAGGGAGGGCGGGCAGATTCCCGGGATTGCAGTAATTAGGCGCCTCGTACGGTGGTGACAGCCTTGTCATTTGCCAAGCCCGCTCCTCGCCGCAGCGCCGGCTCTGGCAGCTCTCCAGCGCTTCAGAGTTAAGCAGCTTTCCAAACGCTTCGACCCAATTTGCCTTGACTGCTGGTGGGGTCTGAGCCGTGCTCACGCAGGAGCCTTCCTCCCACCCTCCTCGGGGAGCTCACATCCAACCCCAAGCAGAGACATCGGATGAGTTTTGGGAAAGCCAAACGTGAGACTTGGTCAGCTCAGAGCCAGCAGGAGGGACTGGAGAGAAGTGAAGGTGTTTGGGGCTCTCCAGGAAGAGCTGAAGAGGGGCTCTTTCAGAGCCCTCTTATCCATATCCAGGTGCTCTGCCTTCCTGCTCTCCAACAATGCATCTTTCCTCCTTCTCCTATGCAGTTCCCATTTTCCACTCCTCCCCAGCCTGCTGGGCATCACAGCAGCGCTCATGTCCCCCTGGGGATGCCTGGGCAAGCTCTAATTGATTTTTTAAGAAGCATCTGCAAGAGAGGTGTCGGTGTCTCAAATACCCGTTCAGATTTCGCAGGGAGAAAACCTTGACAGCATCCCAAGAACCCCTTCACCATCCGAAACTGAGCCCAGCACCTGCTCCTCATTGCTCCTGTGGGAGCAGAGGCCTGGCTGATGCTTTGACTCCCCAAGCCGTGTCCCACAAGCTGATTTTGAGGAGTCACAATCATCCCTGCTGCCTCCGAGTGACTGTTTAAAGCAGCGATTAACTATTCCCACTTTAATCTCCCTGAAACAGGCTCCAGCCCTTTGGCATCTTATTTCCATCTCTCCCTGTGTATTTCTGAACATGATTAGTGCAGAAATGCTGATAGCAGAGGCTGGAGCTGCTGCTGAGTATATCAATCCGGGCATTGTGTTAAGGCAGCTAATAGAGCAGATTCTTATTTACTGTCCCTTGGTCTCTCTGTCCAGTCCCTAGAGTAATTTTATGCAAACTCATTCAAATTAAACCCCTTCTCTTTAAAGGCTGTTCCTTGGCAGTGTTAACAAACACGGTCTCATCCGCTCTCCTCTGAGGACTGGCTCATTTTAAGTGTAAAAACTGTGGGAAGATGGGCCTGGAGTGCTAACTAGGATGAGCTGGAGGCAGACTTCAGCACTGAGGGGTGCTGCTGGAGTTTGGGAAGTGCCTTCTCCTCTCTGCCTGGAGGAGGAAGAAGCTCACATATGGATTTCTGACCCTAACTTAGAGAGATATTACCTCACCCCAGGGCAGGGAGGATGCTTTGCCCTCAGCAAGGGGTGTTAAACTGGAAAAAGGCTTCTTCCAAGGTGGCAGGGAGCAGGCAGACCCCAGCGCTGTCCCTGTGCTTGTCCAGCCCCTGGATGGCCGTGGTGCTGTGAAAGGCTGTGGCAGTGCCTTTGCAAAGGGCTTTGCAAGAGAAGGGGCACCCTCCTGACCTCGTCCCACACAGAGGCTCAAGTTAAAGGTCAGCAGGGAGCCCTGGTGCCGAGTTGGAAGCAGCACACCTGGGGCCCAGGTGCCCCTGACTGCAGCTGCAGCCGCCCTCTGTGCCTGCAGGGACGTGGCATTTCTGTGGATTCTGCCCTGCTTTGCAGCACCCACCCAAGGGGTTGTTTGAGCACCCAAATCTCTGCTCTCCTGCATCAGGGGCCACAGCAATGGGGACAGGGGTGTCTGCTCTGCAGGGACACTGGGACTGGACTGGCCCTCCCTCGGGGGAGTTTCTAACCTGGCCTGACCTGGTCCTTTGAGCTTCTTGGGGCAGGAGTGGGTGTATTTTTAGGTGCTGTCCCCACCGCCTACCTTTGTGGGGAAGGCAGCACTAAATCAGATGAGCAGCAGAGCCAGGTGATGTTACAGCCCCAGCAAGCTCCTGATTAAGTGTTAAATTTAACACTTTAAGACAATATATCCATTTCCTTCCATCTGGAGTGAAGAAAAACTCAGCAGCAGCAGGTCCCTGCTATTTTCTAGGCTCAGCCTCATGCGAGACCCCAAGTACTGCTCCCTGCAGGAGGTTTGACCTTCCTGTCCCAAATAACCCCCCTCTAAATCCCTGTGCCCTGGACCTGCTGGCCCTTGCCCGGTCATGACCCTCTGCCCTAAGGCCTTGGCTTGCCCTCCCCTCAGCAAGGCAGGGGTGCTGCCCACCCCCAGACACTGGCTGGAGTTTTGGCTGCTCTGTGTCTCCTGTGTCCCAGGAGCAGGGAGATAAAGGAGAATCATGAATGAACACGTGGATTTTGTTCCAGATGAGTGTGATCTCCCTCCCCCTGCAGAGATGGAGCCTGCAGGGCTTCAACCCTGATTGGGGGTCAAGCTCAGAGCAAGGCTGTGCAAAGGGATTTCAGCCTCGTTTCCCTGTGCAGGGCATTTTTCCCAGAGCTTTTGGGGATTGTGCACATCTGCAGGAGCCAGGAGCTCAAATCCCTCTGGGGATCCCTTCTGGATCCTTATCCAAACTGGAAAACTGTAACCAGCACACTGAAGCGGGGCCTTGACCCCCAGAAGGACACAATGGCTGTCAGGGTGCAGGGGCCAAAAGCACCAGGGGTTCAGATGGGAACTGGGCACATTTGCACTCCCCAGCACGACCAGCCTTACAAATTATGGGGCAAAGAGCAAGAGTATCATTGAAGGCTTGTCATAAGCAGCCAAGCACCTGTGCCTGACCACAGCAGCCAGAAGTGTTTGTGCTCTCGGCCCCGATGGAGAGGGACAGCGTTCATCAGCAACAGGATGAAAAGAGGAGGAAGCCAAATCTCAAAAAAATGTAACCTCTTTGGGCTGTCATTGTGTGGATTTGTTGCAGGGGCTGTGATGGCTGTTCTAAGGCAACCAGACTGCTGAGCTGTGTTTCCTAGGAGTTTGTAGACTCACTGGTGTCTAACAAGGGGTTAAGCTCATATGGCAGATTTTCTTTCACTATGCACTAGTGGGTTGTTAACCTGTGCTCAGGTAGCTGTTGCCATGAAACTTTTTGTGTTGGAGACCTCTAATCCAAGCTCAGTTGAAACTGGCCAAGGGATTTTACAGTAATTTGGCAACCCAGACTCACGCACACACATTTATGCACATGCACACAAGCACAAGATTTGCTCCTTGAGGAAGGGGGCTAAACCCAAGGATTTTCTCTGGGAAGATGGTCAACACAGAACTCAGTTTGGAGAACCCAGCCCATTAAATAAACCAACACTCTTGCAAATGTGAAAGGGTCAAAGCTTGGTCTAAAGCCCACCCAAATCAAAGGAGACATGCAAGGCAGCACGTCCAGCCTTGGCACCAGGCTCTTTTTGGCCGCAAGCACACAATGCATGAAGCCCACACTCACCTACAAAGTCGTAGATGAGGTCCTTGATGAGATGCCCGACGATGGCATACGCCACTGCCACCACCACCAGGGCTGCCATGAGGAGGTAGAGGACAGCCTTGGGCAGAGGAATGGCATCTCGAGGAGGGGGTTTGTACTCCTTGTAGAGCTGGTCATTGTCCGAGTATGAGTACTGGAACAAGTGGTCCAGGCCAGCTGTGAAGTTGCTGGAGTTCATGGACTGGCTATTGGACAGGTAGTTGTCCTGCTCGGGGTCCTGGAGGACACTTACCACCGAGCTGGTGGTGGCTTCCACTTGCTGTACCAAGTTCAGAGTCTTGTTAACGCTGGGGAGGATTTGGGAAAGGAAAGTGCTCCAATCTTTGATGGCACTGATGTTGCAAATAATCATAATTGCAATGAGGAAAGAGGTCTCCAAGCTCAAGAGACTTAAAAGGGAGAGAAAGAGGTGAGAATTGCTGTGCTTACACCAAACCATGTACTGCAAAGCGGGCAGAGGAGGTCTGGATGGGGTACGTTTCTCATTTGCCAATTCTTACATGATCCGGTAGGGATGCATCTGTGGTACCTCGTCTCACTCCTGGAAATGTCCGCAGAAAACCCCTATGGGCATGAAGTTCCTTAGGAAAAAGTAGGTGCTGGAATGATTTTGACCGATATCATTTTTGTTCCTCAGCCGCCTGTCCCTTGTGCTACTCACCGATGAAAACCAGAGAGACAGGGTCCTGTAGATATTTTCAGTCATCTGGAAAAGAAAGATAAATCGCCCTTCTCCAGCTTTTTTTTTTTTTTTTCAGGGGCGATGGTCCTTGGCGAGACAGAAATCCCCCCTTGGCTCTGCCCCAGGCTCGGTCAGGCTCGAGGTGCGCGGTGCGGTCCTGGCTCTCCCGTTCTCAGAGGAGACAAATGTTCAGACCCCACAAAGTTCAGCTGCTCCGCTGAGCGACGGGGCCATTCCAGCCTGGCTTTCAGCAACTTCTTCTACCGGCATCTCCCGATCGATTCCTTTAAAAACAGAACCAAGTCAGAGACAGCGAGCACGCTGGCAGAGAGCCCAGCACCCGCTCCCCAGCCCACTCCAGAAGCGGGTTTTACCTTAAAGACTTTTCCAAGCGAGCAGATCCTCTCTCCTGATGCTCCAGCTGGTTTCATTGCGGGCTGGGTCCCTGCGGAGCTCCCCGCACGCAGCCGCCGATCGGATCCGCTGCCGTGTGCGGGGTGTGTGCGTGTGTGTGACACTCCTCCCCGTCCCCTTCCCTGCTGTCCCTTCACCTGCCGGCTCTTCCCAGCCTCCCCGGCTCCGGCTGCGAGCGGGATTAGCTGCCGGGAGGTCGGCTCCGAAACTCCTGAGCGTGCTGGAAGCAGGCTGGGAGCGTGGGCTCAGCCTCCGCCGCCGCTCCCCGGAGAGTTAATCCTTGCGGTGACAAAAGATGAGCTTTGATCCGTCTGCTGGATGTTCCCGGGGAGGTGCAGGGGAAGGTGGGGAGCGCTCGCGTGGGCAGCCCAGGTCCAGCCGCCCGCGGGCGCTGAGCTCAGCCTTTGTCTGGGAGCGGAGCCGGCGGCAGGCAGGAATAATCACATGGCGGGCGCTGCCGGCAGCGGGGCGGACATCATCCATCCCACCGCCAGCATCCCGCAGGAGCGATGCTCCCCGCAGCCCCGCTCCCTCCGCCCCGCAAAGTTCGGGCATCGGAGGGATGACTGCTTTGCAGAAAGCACGGAGGGCTTGAGGCTGAGCTCCCGCGCCGTCTCCCCTCCCTGCTAAGCTGTTTGTGCCAACTGGTAAGAGCCAGCCTCCTTGGTCACCTTGATAATGGTCCTAAACTGGTTCGTGTTCCCTACAAACACGGCTCATCCGCCTTAGTGGTGGGATCTCTGCGATCACTGAGTTGCTGGCTTGGTTTAAAGGCAGTGGGACACATTTAAAGAGGAGGAAGAGGAAATCTTAGAGAAGGGGAAATTGTCTTTCTATATTTTGAGGTGAAAATAAACCACAGCCCCCCCCCCCCCCTTTTTTTTTCTGCTTCCCCATGTAAGAAACAGCTGTCACAGGGGCAAGAAAATCACCACAATAAGCCTGAAAGCAGCCAAATGGAGCTTCTGAGAAATAACAGCAAAAGATTAACTTTTTGTGTGTGTGTGTGTGTGTGTGTGTGTGTGTTACCAGCCAGCAGCAATCCTGCCAGCTGCCTGGGGGTTGGAAGAGTATAGAATAAAATGGCAACATCTCCTGTGCAATAATATCACCAGGTTTTGGGTTGGTGACGGACAGAGTGTACCAGCCCAGGAGCAAAGAAAATGTGGAGGAAAAAGCTTTTCTCCCTGGAATGTGCATGGACCATATCACAGTCACTTCTGGTGCCCAGGACCATTGAACAACATCCTAAAATTTCTTCTCACAAGTGACAGAGCTGTGACTGGTTACAGAAGAATATCTGGGCAGCTGCATGGATACACATCCTGCAGTGAGATAAGTCCTCCTGTCCCCCTGCCCAGCATCTTGATCTCTAGAGTTGGAGCTGCTACTCTGCCTCCAGAGCATGAAGCTGCAGAGATGCTTTGAGGGCCAGGGCAGGAGTCAGGAGCTAAGGGCAAATGGCTCCTCTGTCAGATTCTCAGTGTTTTCACACCAGATTTTATCCTTCCAAGATGTAAAGTATGGCAATATTATTTTTCTTATAAGAACTTTTCAATGTGAAGTGAGTTTTGGGCTCTGTGCAGGGGTGGCACAGTGCAGTCTGGCTTTGCTCTGCTCATCCTTTGCCTGGGGTTCTTAGGAGGAGAGAGCAACCCCCAGGACATGGCCGCTGGTTGTTGGGGACCGAAGCTGCTCCAAAGCTGTCCTTTCACCACAGCTGTTTGGTGCTAGCAGTTGCCATGGCACCAGTGCATCAACCAGAGGGAACAGGAGAGCCCCTGGTGCAGCTGACCCACCCCTGTGCCTGGTTTCAGCTGTGGCTGTCCCAAGCAGGCTCCCACCGTGTTGTACCCCTTTATTCCCAGGAGGGGATGGAGCTGAGTGATTGGAGGCAGAGGGTTTGCAAAAGTGTGGGTACCTGGGGAGATTAATCAGAGATGAGGGCAACAGGGGCAGCTCTCTGTGTGCCTGGGGACAGCTGGTGACAAGTGCCCAGACCTTGCCCCAGTGGGACACAAGGCAAACGCCCTCAGTTTCCTAGACCTCCACTGAGTACTTGTGGGAAAAGGCTGGAAAGGCACTTGGGGAAGCTCTGAGCTCTGCTGCAGACACTGACTCCATTAAAGGGGCTTAGGGCAATACCACAAAAACACTCCCCCACCATTTGTATTTCTCTGCAGCGGAAATCAAGTTGGCTCCTTTCATTTTCATTAACACCCTTATCAATTCAAAGTGACTAAATAGATGCTTAACTGTTCATTATACACTCTCTGCATCTCTGGTCTGAAAGGGAGCCTTTATTTCCACAGTTATGGTTTCCAACCCATTACAGAGGGAGAGAGCATGGAGAGATACACAAGTGTGGATTTTAATAACCTTATATTTCAATCTCTCTATTATTAAAAAAAATGTTTGCATTTACTGTGATGGGGGGAAGATTAAAAGGATTGCCATGGATTCCACTTAGGGAACATTGCTAATGATTTCAATAAATCACTTTAAATAAAAATCACAATCTCCACAATTCCACCCAAATGCCATTTGGCAGAGGGGTTGATTATGGAAACAAAATGAATTTTGGAATTAGCTGCTTGTCCTAATGCAATTGGACAAATTAAATTTAGGGATACACACATATCCAATGACATATATCTCATGCAGAACAGTGGTGTTTTGGCCCCTGGGAAAAAGAACAAATAATGTTTTAGTGGGTTAAGACAGATCTTGTCCCTCATGATGGATGTCAAGTGTTTGTTACAGCTATTTCCTTAGTATTTTTATTTTATGGCTTACCCTCTGTGAAGCTACAAAGCACTGGTGTTTTATTTCCACCAAGGCAGGATCCAACTGACCACTGGGACACGACTTTGGTAATGGTTGTGTTCATGCAGAGCTGAAAAACCACTCTGACACATCACTAGCAATGCCCAGAGCAGACAGTCTGGACTCCTGTCTGTGATTGGGACCAGATCCCAGGATCTCTACAGAGGGTGAAGCCCAGGTTCTACACCAGACCTGGAGATCTGATGCTGCTCCCAGCTCCACTGCTGGCTGCGTGTCCTCTGTTCTGACATGTGAGGGACCAGGAGGCCACAGGCTGTGGATGTGGCAGCACCTGTCAGGTGCAAACAGAGCTGGAGGGGTGGAGAGCAGAGCTGGAGTTTATTGCTGTGCACTGTGCCGTGGCTTGGGAGGGCTTTGTGTCTCTCCCTGGCTCAGAGCTATGCAGAAGTTGGCCCAAAATGTAGTCAGGAGGTGCAGCTCTAGCAGCAGTACCTCCATCTGTACTTCTGAGTGAGACATTTGTCTGCCCAAGGGTCATTTTTACAGCCTGAAGGGGTTTTTGTATCTCTTTTCTGTGCTGCTGATGACTCCAAACCCTGATCCCCACCAGAAAAACCTCTGCACCTGGGCCAGAAGAACAGGCACAACAATTAACACCCTCATATGGCACAAGGTAGAACACTCACCGCAGGACTCCTTCAAACCACTCAAATTTTGGCTATGCAGGGGGACATTCCTATCCAGATGCTGGGTCGTGGGGGCTGCACAGCTCCTGCTCCAGTCCCTGCAACCTTCCCCTGGGGGAGGCAAGCTGACCTTCATTCATCCCTGCATGGGCCAGATGCTCTTCCCTGCCTCCCTGCCTGGCTGTGCTCGGCTGCTGCACTACACCCAGAGCTGCGACTTCATCTCTAAGCAAATTCCAGACCTGCACCAAAGTTTTGACAGCAACCTTCCAGCATGACAAGAAGTTGTGAAATTTAGGCTTATCCTGTATTCCCATTCCTGGCATTCATCTTGCCCAGCGATTTCTGCTTGAACAAAACAAACAAACAAGGAGCAGCAGCAATTTTTAGCAGATGAATCACAGTGAGCTATCTTTATCTATCTATATATAAAAGCACCTTTTTAAAAACTTCTTTTTTTGATGCTGTATTATTCACGTATCCAAAGCTGAAGAAGTCCAGATTATAATAATAATAGACATAATAAATATGCCCTATTAAATGCAGTGCCTAGGAAGACTGTTCCCTGTCTGCTGTCTCTGGTAAGCAAAGTAGGGTTTTAACTCTGCGTGTGGCACCATCTCATGGACAGCTTGGCTTATTCAAAGGACTTGAGAGGCTGAAGGCAAGCACAAAATTATCCAGCATGAAAAGCTTGCTTGATGAAAGAAAAGGGAACATCTCCCAGACAAACAAACCCAGGGCAACAGGAGTAGTTGCAGTGGAGATGAGGTGAGGAGAATGAATTACATGTTTTGTTTGCATCTCTAGAAAGTGCTGCTTGGACAGAAAATAGGTAAAAATAGCTGAAAAGCATTTGTGGGAGTTATCTGGGTAAGTCTGACAAAAGTAGAACAGGAAGGCCTCATCCCAACAGGTGGGAAAGTGCTGTTTTTCCACATCTCCTTCCACTCACAGCTTTGCTGTCCTGAAATCCAGTGAGAAGGTGAACCAGGCTGTGTGCATCTGACACCTCCCAAAGCCTCTCAAAGGGATCTGGAGGGAGAAGCTGGCAGTCTCTACATTTTCTATCTTCTCTGCCATCTTAAGCTGGACATGTAGATCAAAAAAAAAAAAAAAAACAACCTTACCTGGTGTTTCTTTCATAAAAAATGGAGAAAAAACTGTATGGATGCAAACCTGTTGGAGTTTTCAGAGAGCTTGAAAGGGCAGGACTGAGGTGCTGGTATCTGGGCTTCAGGAGGAAACTTTAAGCATCAACAATGGTAGAGGAAAGGAAGAAATTAAGGAATTGAGCAAGGCCAACAGGAAAACTTACCTCTTTCCCTGAAATATCCCCTTATTGCAGGCAGAGGTACAGGAGCAGAGACCTCCCCAGGTGCCAGTCCTCATTCCCTACAGACACACCCAGGAGGGGCTCTGCTGCCTGCCCCTCACCACATCCTTGCTCCAGTATTTTCTCCTCTCAGAGCAGGACCTGTTTTAATGAGTGAAATATAAAGTTATGCTGGCTTTTCAGGTGTGGAGAGAGAGCTGGGTAGGGTTGAGAAGCGCTGCTGGGTTGCCAGGCAGGTTACAAATGCACTCTGTGACTCCTGATTAATCTGCCACCTCACACGAGAGGTGATGCAGTGCTCT